GTGCTCAATGTAAATTTACAGAGCATTAATATTATAAATTGATTTATTTAAAATATGTTAGTGAAAAAAAAAAACATATTTTAAATAAATCAATTTATAATATATATATATATATATATATATTTCGATAAACGTGCAATCGATTTACTATTTCATGAATTATTCATACAAAAACAAATGCAAAGGTTAATGATTTAATTGGCGAGAAATCCATCGTCGCAAACAATTCAAATATTTTGTTCTTATTTTTACTACAGAAAGAGAAAAAACAAGAACAACATCTATTCCATACCTGAAGATGTCTGTAGGAACAGACGAAAGCTTGTAGTAAAAATAAGAACTAATGCAGCAGAAATTTATAGAAACGAGGATCTTTTCATTCATAACAGGTTCGGGGTTTTTTGTATATTATTTGAATTGTTTGCGACGATGGATTTCTCGCCAATTAAATCATTAACCTTTGCATTTGTTTTTATGAATAATTCAAATATATATATATATATATATATATATATATATATATATATATATATATATATATATATATCCTCTTCCTCTTCCCATGGCCTCTTTCTTTCTTTTCCCTTCCCTTTTTCTTCTTCACTTCCTTTTCGTTCGCCCACGACACTACGTAATGCATTAGATTCCCTTTCATCTCTTCATGTAAATTCTAGAAGACATTTTATGAAAATTTCCAAAGAACGAAAGTGGGGGATATTTGCTTCGATAACTGTATTTCTGAATAAAAACTTTTAGTAACACCGTGATTCCCCACCTGATGAGCTGTCAAAAAAAAGCTTTTCCGTTTTTTGACGTTGAAACAAAAATGTACAATTTTGTAGTGGATATGTGCATGTTCTAATGTAACACTGCATAAGATGAATAAATATTTACGGCCTCTACTTTGTGTATTGAGCACTGTTTTCAAATTAATATTTTGAACGTTGTAATCTTACTGCTCGTTCTCCTGCACTTTGATATATATATATATATATATATATATATATATATATATATATATATATATATATATATATATATATATATATAATAAATAGGAATACGTGGGTAAGTAATCCAAGTAGATCCTATCAATATAAAATATTAAAACTGATCCACAAAAGAGAGCTGAATATAATTTTTTATTATAGAGCATATAAGGGAATTAAAACATTGAAACACAAACAAATTACTCCATACAGATGGGCATTTCCTCCGCGGGGAAAATATTCCCTGGACTTGTCAATGCAAATAAATTCGTTAAATTTTTAAAAATGTGTTTGCATTGACAAGTCAAGGGATATATATTTTGTAGGTCTGATGAATTGGATCGTGATTACAATTTCAATGTAATAACATAACCATGGAATATTAGTGTTTGAGCCTTTTATATTATATTCTTACTCTGTCCAGGACATTGAGTTCTACCTGGATTCTATCTCTTAGGAATTTATATATATATATATATATATATATATATATTGACCCCTGATATATCAATATCTATCTATCTATCTATCTATCTATCTATCTATCTATCTATCTATCTATGTGTGTGTGTATGTGTGTGTTTGTGTGTGTGCGTGTAAAGTGTATGTGTGTGTGTGTGCTGATGGTGTTCCAAATGAATTTCCATGATTTTTCGGACTGATACGCGTCTTATAACCCATTTCCGTATCGCTTTCCCACATAGCACTAGTGACAGGAAGTGTTTAAAAAAATTCCCGCTCTTTCCGGACTCATTGATTTGCCTCCGCGAATTGCAAATTGGAGAGGCCAAAATCAACCAAGTACAAAAATTTAAATATCTAGAAAGTGTTTCAATAGAAAAAAAAAATGATTGATGTTGTGTCATTGTCCTAAGACCACTTGAATTTCCGACTCTGGTCATAGCTACAGAGAGCTGGCAATTATTATTATTATTATATTATTATTATTATTATTATTATTATAAACATTATATTATTCAAATGTTTCATTTGAATAATTTTAGAATCTTTATTTAATAATAATAATAATAATAAGAAGAAGAAATTCTGCAAACTTAGTATGTTTCGCTTGTTTAAATAATCTAATTAAACAGATTAATTTATATTATATAGATAATTTCATAAAAAAATCAGCTCCGTTCGACTAATTTGCAGTAATGTGAAATATCAAACGACAACGATACTTATTATGAACGTCATAGGTTTTCTAACTTACAGCTGCATTCTAACAAGGCAGACATGGATCCTTTCTATACACACACAAAGAATAAAAAATGTTTGACAGAAACATTGCTTATACATGCAAATATTTAAAAATGTTTAATTAAAAATGAATAACACAGCGGAAATATTGTTATCAAATTAAATATTTCCGTTGTGAACGCCATTTGATTTATATATATGATGTTCACAACACCAGTGGCAGCCTTCATTATGTATCGATACGGCTTAGTCTGATTTGTTCTTCTGATGTAAGATAAGGACACAGACAAAATATAACCTTAAGCAAATTTATAAAAGGTTAACAACGTCATATATGTAGATGACAAAGTGTTGATAGCAAACACAGAAAGGAAACTAAAAGAACTCTTACAGAAAAGAGTAAAGGAAAACGAGCAGAAAGGACTAAACATCAATTGTAAGAAGACAGAATGCGTGGTTGTTAGTAAAAGGAACAGCAAATTTCAAATTGGAGTTACCAAAATCAAACAAATACAACCATTTAAATATTTGGGAAGTGTTTTAACAGAGGATAGACAATGCAACACCGAGAGCCGAAAGGGGAATTGGCATAGCGAAAGATGCCTTCCAAAATAAAAATATTATATACCGATACGGCTTTGTCTGTTTTGTTCTACTGATGTAAGATAAAGACACAGACAAACTATAACCTTAGGCAAATTTATAAAAGATTAACAACATCAAATATGGAGATGAAATAGTTAGATGTTAACGTAAGTCCTATGCTAAGAGTTTATTTTATCACATCTCTCGCTTGTGGGACTATCTTCCGGCTTCTTACTTCCCTGTCAAATTTGACCTTCAAAAATTTAATTGCAATGTCAATCGTTATTTTCTGCCTTTTTAATTCTCCTTTTTCTTCTCTTTTTAATAGTGTTGCCGGTAGTTTGTATATTAGTGTTTGAATTGGGAAACACGTGTCTCCTGGAAGGTCTATCCCACAACAAAAATGGCGGACTCGGCATGTGTGTCCGGGTTAATAAAATACAAAGAAACAATTAAACCAATATATATATATATATAGAAAGAAACGATATTGTATTTTATTAACAAGTTACACTGTTGCGAGTGAAAAAGACAATGATATTGTAACTATATGACAAAACAATGAAGACGCGGGAAAACATTTAAAGACTAGTGTATTGTTCATGTAAAATGTGTGTAAAAGTCCTATAGAAAATGAAGTTGCGTGCGTACGTGTGTGTGTGTATTTTATATACCGTACCTATGAACACTAATGGGTATGTCCCAATCATTATGAATACGTTGGCCACTATTGTAAGTGGGGGTAATATGATGTCTAAGTAATCCACCACTAGCAGTTGTTTACCTACTTCACGGCGCTGGAGAGTCTTGTATTTTGTTGATGTTATAAAGATTACCATTTTCATTTCCCACGCCCGTTTTGGCTATTCCACATTCAGTAACCTTTTCTAGGTTACAACGGATAGATAGATAGATAGATAGATAGATAGATAGATAGATAGATAACTAGCTAGCTAGCTAGCTAGCTAGCAGGATAGATAGATAGATATGAACAGGCTGAGATAGATACATCGATAGAAACAAAATAGATTGAAACAGATAGTGTTATATTCCATACTTATGAACACTAATGGGTATGTCCCAATCCTCATAAATACGTTGGACATTATTGTAAGTGGAAGTAATATGATGTCTATGTAGTTCACCACAAGCAGTTGTTTACCTACTCCACGCTGGCGGGTATTGTATCTTGTTGATGTTATAAAGTACTAATGAAAATGAAAAAAAATCACATAATTTTGTGGTTGTTCGTAAAAAATGTGGAAGAGTTCAAGGCAGGGAGAAGTGAATACTTATACAAGGCGCTGTATAACGAGCATAATACAGTGAACATTTCGGACCTCTTTTGTTAAAAGTTCATGTCAAGTTATTGATTTATTGATCAGAATGAGAGAAAAAAAAAAAGATCAAATGAGAAAGAGAAAAACAAATTTTAAAAAAATAAAAATAATCGAAATTGAATTTCACAGTTTAATCTTATCTATTTGTCTTCCTCTGTCTCTTAAACACTGATTTTACCTACCTATATTTATATCAGCATGATTATCTATCTATCTGTCGCAACCTATTCACATATTATCTATCTATCTATCTATCTATCTATCTATCTATCTATCTATCTATCGCAATCTATTCACTATCTATCTATCTATCTATCTATCTATCTATTTGTATCTCTGTCTGTCGCAACCTATTCACATACTATCTATCTATCTGTCGCAATCTCTTCACATACTATCTATCTATCTATCTATCTATCTATGTCATAATTTGACCTTATCTGTCTTTCTCTTCCTATCTCTCAACTATTATATTATATTTATATATTATTATATCTATCTATATCTATATCAGCGTGATCATATCTATCTATCTATCTATCTATCTATCTATCTATCTATCTGTCGCAACCTATTCACATACTATCTATCTATCTTATCTATCTGTCGCAACCTATTCACATACTATCTATCTATCTATCTATCTATCTATCTATCTATCTATCTGTCGCAACCTATTCACATGCTATCTATCTATCTATCTATCTATCTATCTGTTGCAACCTATTCACATACTATGTATGTATCTATCTAGCTCAACCTCTTCATATATCTATCTATCTATCTATCTATCTATCTATCTA